TAAAAAAAACAGGGTGCATTAACAGCTGATGAAAGAAGAGGGAGAGTAAAAAAGGTAGGAGATGGGGATTACAAAATTTGTAGATTATAAGAATTTAATGGTAAGAAATGACTCGATTCATTAAATCGTATACATTTCTTACTTTTGCCACAACTGGACCTTGTCAGTACGACGACTGTGGCAATTGAAGTTAATGAGTATTAAGTTTGAATTAATTGTAAAATGAATGTTAATAGCAGGAAGTACTGTGGAAGAAGAGTACTAATAAAAATACTTCTTGTTTGATTGTGATCGGAAAAGTAATATGAAGTAAATACACAAGTTAAATAAAAGCAAAATTATATAAGTTAAACAAGCAAAATTAAGGAACAAAAGAAGGAGCAAGGACTGTGGAAGAACGACGGCATGGAAGAATGACGAATAAAGAAGGAATAAAAAGGTGAAGTTAGGTGGAAGGGGGACATAGGGGGTAAATGAGGCAAATATAAAAAAAGGGATAATATTAAAAAGTGATGTATATGTGTGCTTATTAGGTCGATAAAAATGTACGTAGAAAAATTAGACAGACAAGTTAACGGGTCGATATAAAAATTGTGTGTTATGATAAGCAAGTAGATATGGAAGATGAGTGAGTAAAAGCCTGTATGAAATATGCAAAAAGAGGCAGGGATAAGTTAGTATTTTATCAGTAATTATATAAGGCTGTATTTTACGAAGCAGTTTTTTAAAATTGATATTTTTAGGGCAGGAATATTTGTTGAAATGAAACCTGTAACGTAAGAACAATCGGCAGATTTTTTATAATTTATATCGATTCAAGCCTCGACTTTTATAAATTAGTAGTAAGTTTATTGCATCTTTTATAAATCCATCAAGACTAGATTCGATACGTAGATATCGTAATAATTGACTATAAAAGAAGTTATTATGTATATTGGAATGAATGTTACTGTCCGAATAGGATATTTGTTAACTGTGAAGTTAAAATTGTTTATTTTATTATAAAAGGTTGCACTGGTAGTTTCTAGGGTTGAAAGACTGAAAGTAATGCCTAAGGAGTTTACAGAAGTACAACTGCCTGTAATTTCTAAATCTAATTCAGTGCTGCACATGCAAGTTATTGCGGTACTCATACCGAAACGTTTATAATGCTGTTTACGTTTAATAAATATCTTAATATCTAATATCAGATAAATATGGATTAGTGTGGGAAAATATATATAAAACACGTGCATCCTCCTCTCTGGTCAGAACATGCAATTTACATGTATAATCCATGCAACTGAAGGTTTGTCCATGTAAAATACAGAATCCATTTGTCTAAAATGTGCATTTTATGTACTTTTTCCCTATTTATTTTAACCCACCCCGAATTCCATTTTAATTAATAAACTGCGAATACAGAATGGCGCATTTAACAAACATTCCAAAAACGTGCCAACCCACAGAAGTAAAAACTAGAAGGACCGAGTACAATGGAATGTATAAACGAAACTCAACAAATAAAGCTAGCTCACTTCTGAATACGGTTGCAGGATTTCACACATTGAGATGAAGAGCTGAGAGGCAGCAGTC